AGTGACAGTAGAGTGACAGTGTCAACTGACACCAGTATATCATGTAGTAATCACCAATTGTTATTTCAATTACTTAACAAATATTTTAAAGATGGGTTCCCTTTTTTTCCTTGATTAAAATGAAAATGCTAATACTTATATGAATAGAAAGTTGAAGTGATCTTATGACTTGGAAAAATACCAGTTTGTCTGTCCATATTTAATTCATAATTAGCTAAATTAGAAGAGAATTACCAGCATAATTAGAATGAAAGGTCAAAAAAAAATTTTTTTTTTGTTTATCCTGACTGTTGTACATGGACATTTGATAGGTTAAAACTCTTAATAATATGCAATAAGAACATAATGATATGATTAAGAATACATGATAATTTTTTAGAAACACCAATTAATCAATTAGTTCGCTTTAGTTGACACTAAAAAAATAAGGAATCCCATCTTTAAAAGAAATTTGAATTTTTGTCACAGTTTGTGTGTATTGTTTTAGTAACCAATTCTTTATGTTTTATGACCAAATGAGTAGGTTACAATAAGTGTTCAAGAATAAAAAAAAATGGCTCTGTTCGAAACATGCTGATAAGGCTTTTTTCCAAATTTTCAGAGTTTTCAGACAAATATTCATTTTAAGGGATAACTATTTTGTTTACTTATATAGCTCAATTATCAATATCAATTTGCAAAATTCAAATCCATTAAACTAGTACCCCTTCAATATAATGATTTAACCTTATAGTGAAATAAACATTATTTGCTGCAAGAAAATAAAGATAGAAACAACTCGGCTATATATTACAAGGATAACAACTTAGATTCACAGTTAAGGATCTTTTCTACCAGCTGGTTCTTGGCCAAACCTCGATCAAGGACCAACCTGGGCATTGATATTTCAAAGGTTATCATTACCAATATACAGCTGGATCAATAGGAATAATTATTATGAGTGAAGATGACTTATTCAAGGTCTTCAGACTTTCTTACGCCGATAGAGATCGAAACCCATAACTGCCATTTGTTCAGCGTAAACAAGCAAATAAAGAAATGTAAAGAACCAACGCTCTAACCTTTACTTAACTTGCAGTTATTGCTATGATTTGATAGTTTGATAATTATGGCAATTTTTCGTGACTGATTTGAAAGACTAGCTCCAAATGACCTATTGCATTGCTGACTATAGGCTGTGCTATATGGTATATGTTTTTCAGCCTCTGTAAATGACTAATATTACGACACATACAGTATATATATTACTACCAATTGATATTATTGTCAAGTGGTTTATTTAACTTCTATAATCAATACAATTTTATTGTTTCTTATTGAAGAATGAAGAATAAATTCTACATACAATTAAAAAAAAAATTCACAATAATTTTACAATTACACTTAAAGGGACTGGTGGGCCATTTTTTTTTTACCAATCATACGTTAGTCTCAGAAACGGCATTTTTTAGCTAAGTCAATCAGTTATAGTGTTCACGGCTCACCTTCAAAATTTGAGCTTTGAAACCCATGTAGGTCCAGAATTATCTGCGATTAAATGTTAAAATGATAACTCGTCAATTTAAGATACTCGGTGATATATAGAAAATTAATATATAGAAATAGTGAGTAAAATTCCTAGTTTGAAGTATTTTTAAAGGAATATGTTGCTCATACTTACTTATTAAATTAGATATTACCTTATTGGCATTGAAACTATTATATTTTGCATGCATTAAGTTTATTTTAGCATTGTAAAGGGTACTGAGATATTGGCCCTTATTGGCTTATTGTATTCATCTATTGGTCTTTACATTATTAATCATTATATAAAAATTTCTGACAATCTGTATTATTCATTTGTTTTTTTTTATCTTTTTTTCAGACAATTGTGAATGTGAAGGATTAATCATTTAATAAACTGAGATACTAAAAAACGATAGTGTAGACTTTAAAAATGGGTTGTGTTAAATCAACTAACAGAACAGGATTTGATTCCATAGAAAGCAAAAGACAGGAAAATGGAGACAGTATAAACAGAAAAAAGAACAGTTACACCAAAAATCCAGTAGAATTATCCAAGCAACAGTCTTTTTCAGGTTAGTACAAACTAGAGTAAAGCTTGTCTGAGAGCTTGAAAGGATCATTTTTAGAATTTTCAGATAGAAATATGATGAGCTGGTAATTGAGACTTGCTTTAAAATTTAGATACCATCTTATTTAAAGGGGAATTATGCACAAAAATTGCATCCTTAGGTCATCGATGCCCCCAACCTTTTAAGGCAACCACTAAACTTTTCACATCTGCTGAATATCTTTATTGATATCAAATCATTTCTTTGTATATAAGCAGTACATATGATGTCAAAGGATTGAAATCAGAGTGAATTGAGTGTATTTGAGTTTATGCAAGTGTCATAAAGTCTGCCTTGAAGTAGTAGTTCAGTAATCTTTATTGCAGCATGCGTCTTTAAGCTGTTATATTTGAAAATTGAAGTAGACCTACTTAGATATCAATGGGTGACAGTCTGACTCAATCAAATTACTTACTACTTTGACAAGATTTTGTCTCAGGAACAAAGACTTTATAAATACACACACCAAAAGAATTTCCACATGTAAATAAACCTCCCTGATTTTATTTCAATTAATGTAACTTGTGTTTTTAGGTAAAGTATTAACAGCCCTCTATGATTACAATTCAAGAACACAAGATGACCTCACATTTCGCAAGGGAGATAAAATGAGACTGAAAAATGACAAGTAAGAACAATTTCTTCCTTTCTTACAATAATCACTAATAGACAGAATCAACTCAAGTAAACATCATAGCCTTGAAAGAATAGTTTGAAATGTATCTATGACACTAAATTATTAACGATATATATCACTTTTAAATGATGGTAAATGCAATGATATGATTGGATTGTATGCTAGCGAATATAGCCATTCAGGGACCTAGACAAAAGCACTACAAGTCATAATGTTAACAGTCTTTCTGTCAAAGACTCTGATCGGCTGTATTCTGATTGGCTGCATACATCCCAATCAAATCACTGCATTCCATAATACAAGAAAGGCAGCTTTTGGTCTCAAGGTAAAAGCTGAAGGTTGTAATAGCTTGGCATCGTGAAGATGATTATTATGAGAAAGAAAGCATCGGTCCACAAAAATGGGAAATTAGGCTAAGTTTGGGCAGTGATGTCTGCTGTGTACAGAGTAATCTTGGGACTGCCATTTGAGATGCTGTCCATAAACATTGGCTATTGGCATGATGACTATTAATTTGGAACTAGAAGTTGAAGGACTTGCCACTTGAATTTGAAACAAGTCATTGAAATTTTATGCCTGTTATTAATTTTTTTAGTGATGAAGACTGGTGGTTAGCTGTTCATGAAAAAAGTGGAGAAGAAGGTTATGTGCCACGAAATTATGTTGCTCTCGAAAACACATTGGAATCACAAGAGTAAGTAGAGTTGGTTCCTAAGTTTCATCTAACATGATAGAGAAATATTTCCTGTGGCCTTATTTGACATCACATTACACATCACATATTCATAACACAATTATCACGATATATCATAGATACTGTTTGATTTAACATGTTTAATATTTTTCTGCGCCCGATTGAAAACCAGGAAGTATATTACTTTCTGTCAAAGTTTTTATCAAAGTTTCATCAAACTTAGTAAGAGCATTATCGATCCCTTCAAAATGTCAAGCGTCTTGATCAATTATATTGTTGCCCTGGATTGCACATGGAGTGCATTTGTGTATCAGGAAAACCAGACTTTGTTTTAATTTTTCGTTTTTCAATAAATCCACTAAAAGTTTGGTTTGATAGGATGAAAAGCTTTCTAAATGTAATATTAGATTTGATATTTTATTTTTTTCATTCTTTATCTCTGGTGTATTGATATCATCTCATACATTGACACATCCTTCATATAATTTGTATAAATAAAAACATTTGTTATCAGTTAAATACATGTCATTATTGAAATTCTAAATTGATTATTCCTTTTAATACTGGCATCCATATAGTCTTTTTTACTGCTATAAATACAAGATAAAATAGGCTCAACGATTTTCATCCATTTACAACACCAAAAACCCTTTAACTTAGAAGGGACTTTTCTCCTTCAACCCCCATATGGGAATAAGCCCTGGACCGCGTAAGGTCATTTCAAAATATGAAAGTCATTTGTAATTTTAATAATGTATATATTATTATTATTATTATGTTATTGTTTTAGTTGGTATAGAGGTAAAATATCTCGAAAGGAGGCAGAGCGTCAGATATCTGTGGAAAATTTAGATGCAGGAACATTTTTAGTGCGTGAAAGTGAAACATGTCCAGGTTTGTATTATATTTATTATGTTTGACTTAAACAATTATTATTGTTTACTGCTGCACTGACATTTTTTTTATAATTTTGATGACAGCAATTCAAATGATTATTACTGTAATAAATACATGGTATAAACAAAATTAGCTAAGTGGACTCTCTGAACGTAATGCCAACTTGACAAACCCTGTCTCAGAGTGGCATCAAGTGGTTAAGAAGATTGAGCATGCCCTGCTGTACTAGTATTTTGTAATTCAGAAGCTCAGATTCAAATACATGTTTCTGAACTTGGTTTCTAAACCTCTAACTGATAGAAGACTGAAGAATGATCTTTGGGAAAATCTTGTCTAACAACAGTCATCAACATTGCAAATGCAGCATAAATATGATAAAGAAATTTCAATGTTTCAGGTGCTCATGTATTAACTGTACGTGATCATATTGATGCCTCTGGCTCGGTTGCCAAACCTAAACATTATAAAGTCAGAACTTTGGACAATGGAGGTTGTTATATCACAGCTAGAAGAACATTTGATAATATTCTGGAACTTGTTGAGTATTACAAAAGTAAGTATTTGTTATAGGACTTTTTTAGATTTATCAGAGTAAGATGGTACAGAACTTTTTGAGTACTATAAAATATTTTGTTGAATAATGTCATGAAATATTATTATGGAACTTTTTAATTACCATCAGAGTAAGTTGAAAGTACTATGTTTGATAAAAGAATTGCACTTATTGAGTTAATACATGTATGTTGAAGAACACTATAAAAATTATTTCATGGAACTTATTAAGGCCCTACTCGATTACAAAAAATCTGAAACCGGTTTGGTACATCAGATTCGTGTTGTAAACAAGTGAAACAGATTCGAAAAGCAAGACTAATTTAAAATTATAAGTGCCCTATGAATGACGCCATCTTGAATCCGACGAATTTGCTCTAGGAGGCAGATTCGGATTCAAATTCAGGGTATCGTTGTAAACGAGTGACAGAGATTCGGAATCCAGTTTCAGATTGGTTGTAAATGAGAAGGGCCTAAGTACTATTAGATTATGAATTTAAATAATATGAGTATGGATTTAGTAAAGGATTTAAATTATATTAGTATTGAGTATTATGGAGGGCTTGCACAACTTGGGTTGGGATGTGGCTTCATGGCTCTCTTAAAAATGCTAGATGAGTAAAATTGTCATTCTAACAAAAATAAAATGAAACTTGTTCTAAACCAACTATATATATTATTATGATAGAGGGAGCTGATGGATTATGTAGTGCACTTAAAGATGCTTGTCCTAAACCTAAACCTGTGATGGAAGATTTATCTATGAATACCAGAGATGATTGGGAAATACCCAGAGAAACCTTAACATTTGGTAAACAATTAGGAGCTGGTCAATTCGGTGAAGTCTGGAAAGGTGGGTATTAATTTTATTCAAAATGGTATAGTCTCTTAAGATACCATTCGGCAATTCAGGATGGTTTCCAAAAAGCGGAATCTGTCATGGTAAAGAATGGTAGATTTTGTTGTGTCTCCTACTTGAGCTTGACTTTTAACTTTCGGCATTTTACATTTATTTGTCAAGTGATAGCAATATTTCAACTTTAAAAAAGGCCCCTTTCTCAAGTGCCTTAGGGAGACAATTCTGACTCTTACTAATGTGGTCACATAACCAAATATTCATTTTGAAAGTTGCATCCATATCTAACAGTGTGTTTTCTTTATATTTGTTCTGTTTTAAAACGCTTGCTGTCCTGAACAACCAGTTTCTGCTGCTTGAACTACCAGAATCTCATGATCACATGACAATTTGAACATTATTTTGGTTATGGCTACTATTCCTAAATGCAATGTTTACTATTTGATTATGTTTTTTTTTTTTTTTTAATTGATTAGTAACTGTAGTAAAATGTTAAAATTTGTAGGAAAATATATGAATTCTACAGATGTAGCAATCAAAACATTAAAAGTTGGTACCATGTCACCTGCAGCATTCTTAGCAGAAGCTCAAATCATGAAAGAATGCCGCCATGATAAACTAGTCAGATTATATGCTGTCTGTACTAAAGAAGAACCAATTTATATTGTGACTGAATTAATGTCAAATGGTGCACTATTGGAATATTTACGTGAAGGGTCCAAGCCATTAGGTTTACCACAACTTATTGATATGGCTGCTCAGGTTGGTTTCATTTGTGGTTATCAAGGAATCACAGTTACTAGGCATATTAGACTCTTGATGACCTAAGTTCAATCCCTGCAAAGGTCAAGGTGACAGTAGAGGGCAGACATTGAATGAGTATCCAGTGCCGTCATGTTGTGTGAATTGGATTTGTCAGGCTATAACTATATAAGTTATCTGATTTCAATATACGTTTAACAAAATTTTGTCCTTACATTTTATTAACTAAATTTTGTCCTTCCATTATGTTTAACGAAATTTTTTCCTTTCATGTAATTTTAACTAAATTTTGTCCTTCCACCTATGTTTAACTAAATTTTGTCCTTCCACCTATGTTTAACTAAATTTTGTCCTTCCACCTATGTTTAACTAAATTTTGTCCTTCCACCTATGTTTAACTAAATTTTGTCCTTCCACCTATGTTTAACGAAATTTTGCCCTTCTACATAAAAAATTATCTGTTTTGTAGATTGCTAGTGGTATGTCGTATCTGGAGGGTAAGAAATTTATACACAGAGATTTAGCTGCTAGAAATATTTTAGTGGGTGATAATAATGAAGTGAAGGTAGCTGATTTTGGATTAGCCAAAGTTATTGAAGATGATGAATATAATCCAAAACAAGGTACGTTTATTGTTGTTTTTCTTTTTGGTAAAATTATTCAACAATTAGCACTAAATTATTTAAAGGGGTAGAATGAACAATTTTCATGAAAATACTTCGAAATTATGCTGCTTACTTTTTGTATATCTACTTGATCAATCTAAATTTGTTTTAAAAGGATTAATAGAAAAACAAAGTGAGATTATTAAGGAAGCATTTAAAACTAATTTTTATAATAGGCATTACCAGCTTTTTTTTTAGTGCATTCCCTACTTTGACTCATAGATTCTTTCCACAGCAGCTTGATAAAATTTCAATTTGAATGTATATCATTTTTGAAATATTTCAGGTGCAAAGTTCCCTATTAAATGGACTGCTCCAGAGGCAGCTTTGTATGGTAAATTTACTATCAAATCTGATGTGTGGTCTTATGGTATATTATTTGTGGAATTAATGACTAAAGGTCAAATTCCGTATCCTGGTATGTACTGTCTATTAATAATCAAAATACACCCAAAATCTTTAGTTTCATTAGTCTTTGTTACCAGATGATTTAAAAAAAAACTCCTTAGCTATGCCAATCAGTAATAGCGTTCACATCTTACCATCGAAAATTTGAGCCTTAAATCCATGTGTGTCCAGAAATATCTGCGTTTGAATGTTCAGATTTTAAGATACTCTGTGATACATACAAAAGACATACCTATATAGAAATGGGTATAAAATTTGAGATATTTTTGAAGGAATTTCTCGTTTAGTTAGTACATTTCTAGTACATCTGACATAAATATATTCAATTCAATCTCCCAAAATGGCGCACCTCATCTTTAACAAGTTCTTGAGGATCCTTCCTACCAGTTGGTCTTACTGTCTGAGCTATAGAACCTTCCATATTGATGTTCCCTTATAATAACATTGACCTTAAGACCTTATTTTTCTTTTCTTCAATATTTTCAGGAATGGGAAATAGAGAGGTGTTGGATCAAGTGGATCGTGGATATAGAATGCCAAAGCCTAAAGATTGTCCTGATGCTGCATTCGAAATGGTTTTAAAATGTTGGGATAAAAAATCTGAAAACCGACCAACATTTGAATATCTGTTCAATTTCTTTGATGATTATTTTATTTCAACAGAACCAAGTTATAAAGATACAGATTAGTATCAATTCATATTATTCTAGTTCCCTACATTCTTATATACAGCTCAATCATCACAATAAGATTAAAGATTGATTCATATATCCAGCAGGAGAACACTTTAGTGTAAATACGTAAATATTGACAAAATAATAATAGATAGACCATAGGTTTTATACCAAGTTCTCAAGTGTGGACATTCGCCTTTTTTTAGGGACATTTGATGTGTCAGACAGGCTATTGAAAAAACTTATCCAACTATGATATACACAGCCTAGAATAACAATAACAATTATTTGCAGCATTTTATACTCCATACCACCTGAGACCGTTCATGTAGTTTCATTTTCGATTTCTGGAGACATCAATTTCATGCGAAATATGATTTGGAGACACATTTAAAAACAGGTTTAAAACCACAGATAGATAAAAAGATCATATTCTAATAACATGATATTATCCCATTTTAGTTAAGAGTTATATCATTCCTTGTAAATATTGATTGTCCCAGATCAAATAAAATCTTAGTAAAATTTTTCAATCAGCCTAGTAAATTGGGGAGTGTTTTTATCAAATAATTTCAATTTTTTTTCCATTGCTTGTGAATTCAACTTTTAGTATAGTATTCATTATCGATTTTAGACCAAAATGATTTTTAAAATCAATTTTCCTTTTTGTGTTTTTTTTGTTGAATTAATTGATATGTTAAAGTTTTTAACTAGTGCTTGTTAAGTTTGTTCTGTGTATTTTTTTTGTTTAAATAAGTAAATTGTTTTGTTATTTTTTGTTGGTGTACTGTAGATAAATTATGTGTGTATAATATGACCTTTAAGATTGTATATTGTTATCACTTTAAGTGATTTGAAAAGGTTTGACAATGCACTTAACTTAAAGGAAAACTTCCCTAAGAATGTGCATCAAATTTAAACTTTATGAATTTTTAAGAGTAGAGGAATTCTGTATATTTATGACACCAGGTAAGTTCACTAATGAATATATACTCTTTTAGGCCAAGTTTGATCATTTAACTTGCTCATTCTAAGAAGTAGTATTCATTAGGACTTATTCTGTATTTTGTTATCACTGGAATGTTTCGCATTGGGCAGTAGTAATTACTGGCATTTAAAACAATTGGCAGTAAACTGTATGTGCTCTGTAGTTTAATATGCTATGTTTGAATATTATTATGTCACATGTGTTTTTTTAGAATTCTTTTTGGCTGCCACATGGTAAGAGCACAACTCTGAACCTTGTGTCCATTTTCCCGCTGGGGGAAATATAACTTCCAACTTAAGTGGTTTCTAGTACTATTTCTTACTTGGATGCTTCTCATATCTCATTTATCCTAAATTTCAAATTTAAATTATGCTCTGTAGCCTACACAAAAATGCACAGAATTCTGAAATAAGACGTAACTATTTGTTATCTATATAGATCAGTTAAGTTGAAATAGGTTGCAGTTTTTATAAGTTGGTTTCATTTGCTACATGTTACTAACATTTATTTTAAGTGACAAAAGTCTGCCGTTTTAATCAAACTTTAATAATTCAGCTTGCAATATCTATTAATAGCATTATTTATCTGTTTACCGTGAATTGTCTGCGATAGATCTTTTATTATATTTTTTCAGATTATGTATCGATTGTATTATCCATTGTTTCTAATATTATGAATTATAAGTGATTATCTTGCCTATCAATTTGAGTTTTATTCTGAATATAAGTGACAAGCAGTATTAATATATTAACAGTTAAAATTCTTATCTAAAGTTTGCCATGTTTTGACAACAGATCATGAGTGTAAGGATATCTTAAAGCTTTTTCTACAATGAAGAATAAGTTGGATCTTTAAAAAAAAAAAAAATTCCTGTGCCTTATAAATTGGAATATGATTCAGGTTTTTTCATTAAACTTTCTAAGATAAACTCTTAATGAAGGTGTGATAATATGCAATTTTTTGTATTTGTTTGATAAGAATATCTTGTATCAGATATAGATTTATAATATATTTATACAGTTTAATTATTCTATAATATAATCTCTTCAGTCCTTTTCAGCTTTTGATAAATATATTTTGTAAATAAACAATCCTAGATATAAATGTGTACATTGTTTTATTTTGTTTGTGATAGGTAGGTAAGGGGTTTCAGAAGCATAATTAAATGATATACTGGTATCTGTAATGCTTTTAAGAAAGTGAAAGTCTGAAATCTGGTTTTTCTAAAATTTCTTCATCTAAGAAAAACATGGTTGAAAATGACCTGTCAAAACTTTATTTAATTGTATATGAACAGGACATTAGATATTATACAGATAAGTTGAAAATGAGCTCTTGACCCTGAATAAGATAACTTCAAGCTGCAGATATTGAACTATTGGTCTGTTCAGGTTTATCTCCTCTACCAAGTTGACCAAGGGAATGATTTCTTTTCTTCTTCTGATATTTTTACTTTTATTAGATTTTTACAGGTTTTCCTGTAAACAATGATGAATTTTGAGATAACACAACCCAAACAGGCTGTCATATTGCATGACTTCTAGTTCCCCACATTACACCCTTGGCTTGTTGAATTAGAACAAGACTGCGGTAGAACACTTGTGAGATTGCAATAGAGATGAAAAATATCAAAAAACAGAAAAAGCAAAAATGTAATATAATTGGGTTGAAACCATGAACATTAAGTAAAAATATTTATTTAACAATTAACTATTAAAGCACATATAAAATAATTAAATCAACACTCGTATATAGATACAAAGTAATAGAGATAGGTAGAAAAAGGAAGCGCTGGGTCAACTATAAATTCTCACAATAAAATACATATACCAAAACAACTTAAGCAACAAAGCCAGGGTCAAGGGATCTCAAGGAAGCCATAGTGAGTTTTGTATTATAATAAAGGGACCATATATATAATATAAAATTATACATACAATATACACAATGAGAAATGCAATATCAAAAGTTAATTGAACAATCAAAAGTCAATTGAACAATCAAAGTCAACTGAACAATCAAAAGTCAATTTTCAGGGGCATTCCACTTTCTTTGTAAAACATTTTCATTATCAAAATTATACCTGAAAATATCTATTTATATCTTGATCAAACTGAATTTTTTTAAAAGTGTTAATTAAAAACTGAGAGTACTAATTGTTAATTAAGCAGTTTGACCGAGTTTCGGAAATTGGCTTTGTAATGGCTCGTTGTATTCTGTTGAAATCTTAGGAAACGTAGGAGATATATTTCTCTACAATTAGGTGTTTATTAAACTAAAATCTGTAGGGAAGTTTTTTCACAGCTTGCAAAAGCATAACGAACTTTAAAAGGTTATGTAACCTTTTACGTAAAGTTTTGGTGTTAAAAACTTACTGGCTGGATTTGTTTTAGTTAAAACTTTCAGATAATTTATGGGATACATTTTTATAGATTTTGGTTTATAGTTTTCACAAATTTGAGCAAAAAAATATTTCGACCTACAAAAAAAGCGGAATGTCCCTTTAACAATCAAAAGTCAATTTAACAATCAACAAAACAATCATTAGGAAGCAATAGCATTATTTAATTGGCACAAAAATCTTATTATAAGATAATACAGTGAAAGATTTCTTTAAAATATTCAAGAAATATACAAGAAGGAGAAAGAAACAATTATAGATTAATCAACCCCAGTAACAAACAGGCAGAACTAATTAACAATTATCACAAGATAAATTGCATAGAAACTGAAATATAACAATGACATCTCTAGCCTGATAAATCTTTTCCGAATTTACGAATAAATTATCAGCACATTTAGGACCAAACATAAAAAGCCAATTTTTATGAGACTTGCTCCAATCCATTTGGATAGCTAGTTTTTGGGAATTCACCATTACAAAAGCCAAATTTAGCATAACTTTTAAGATTTAAAAATGAATAATGAATAATCTATGACTAGAACTGGTGTAAGCATATACAAGTAAAAATGCTGGACATTTAAAGCACAATGGTAAAATATTTAAGAAAATAAGCTACTATATTTATATTTAAGTGAAAAATAGTATCACAGACAAGTTACGTTGATAATTAAAGATACTTTCAAAGCTTTAGGAGGGTATCAAAGGTCTATAAGCTTCATTTAGGCTACATAACATCAAGAGAAACATCACTTGATCTCAGAAATTCTCTTTCAAACAGAGAGTAGATTAATACTGTACATGAGCAATCCTTCTTTTGATTATCTAATTAATATATCTTAATATTTAGTTTCAGCAACTCATATCTCTTTTCACAATTCAAATCTGACATTCTGTTCCTCAAGAAACTCTAAACTATCATTACTATCAGTTAGTCTACTACATATATCATACAATATAAACTTCTCCAACTTTTTGTGTACATGGACCAGAGATCAGATTTCAATTCTAGAAAGTGGTACAGATGGCTGTAATGAAGCTAGAAAGACTCTCTAAAATGTACTTTTCATCAATATAACAGATTTCATCAAGTTTTATCTAAAATCAGACAATAACAAAACCATGGCATCCTTTTTGATTAAAAACTTATTAACAATATAAAAGGCTATAAAATTCAATTAACAAAAATTATATATTTCATTGAGGTACAGAATTTTATTTTGAAAAAAAACATAAAGTTCAAATTATTAAGTACTTTCATAGTCATACACTTACTTAGCGAATTTTAATGTTTGGAGGAACACTGTTCTTAACACTGGTTCTTCATCAATTTTCTCTTTGGCTTCTTTAATAGAACATTTTATCAAAGATGCTGCTAATGCTGTAGGTATCACCTTAAAAAATTTAAAAAATTAAGAAGGACGCCATGGCAAGCAGGGTGAAACTGGTTAAGAATTTGAAAAATTTGAATTTTCTGACAACAGAATATCCAAGAGCTAGGTAAGAATTAAAAAAAATTGGATTACTTTATTTAATTGTCGAGACCTGAATTCACAGCCGTGAAAACCAACTTCCAAATCTTTTACAGAATTCTTTTACTAAACATGCTATTGAAAACCTGATACAGTTACCAGTATAACAAACTTGACTCCATATTAGACAACCATGTGATTGTGGTTTATCTATTGTACAGTTATCTATCTTCATGATTTAAAATTGCGTCCTTACAGTAAACACATACTGTTTGAGACTGTGTAAGAATTAATAACTTGGTTGCAAAGTTCCTTTCAAGGGTCCTTGCATGTACTGAAAACAGACTTTTGTGGGCCATTGTGTATATCTCAAGGATGGACAATGATATATACCAGTATCATAACTTACCATATTTTTAGTAGCTGCTACTTGTATATGACTAGCAATAGGTGATGTTAGTTGATCTTCATTGAGAACGTCTGCTTCATAAATAGATCGTAATAAATATTCTATACACTCTTCAGCAGTTAAACCATTAAAATTCTTCAAAAAAACATTGTAATTATGGTTATCATTTGAATAAACGTTTTAAAATCAAGAGATTAATATTAGTTTATGATAGAGGTTAACAGCCTTTGAACTGTGTAAAAGTCTATACTTTCCTCTAATGCTAGGTTTGAAACACTGGTTTTGACACGGGAATAGCTGGTTTGCACGTTGGATTGTCGTTTGCTAGGTGATTGAGGATTCATTTCCCCGTGAAAAAAAATTCTGATGTTGGCTTTCAACCCCTATAAATTAAAGATGGGTTCCCTTATTTTCATTCATAAAAATGAAAATACTAATACTTATATAAATAGAAAGTTGAGGTGTTCTAATGACTTGGAAAAATACCAGTTTGTCTCTCATTAATTCATAATTAACTAAATTAGAAGAGAATTACCAGCAGAATTTCAATGGGTGACTGATCAAGAAAGGTTAAAAAGTCTTTTTTGGTTTATCCAGTGCATAAATGGACATTTATGATTAGTTAAAACTCTTAATTATATGCAATAAGAACATAATGATATGATAAAGAATACATAATAATTCATTACAAACACCAATTATTAATCAAATAGTTTGCTTAATTTGACACTAAAAAATAAGGAAACCCATCTTTAACAATACAATATAACATTTACATATACTAGATTGTATGTTTAGACAGAATTATTTTTACCTGTAGTATATGTATTGCTCTGTGAAATAATTTGTTATTGCTGAAATACAGAAAAAAATTCAAAAACTAATGACTTTCCCTTCTTATAGAAGAGTTTGACGCTGTGCTATATTTAAAATTAGAAGATATCTGATTTCAGATGAGGACAAAATCTTTCTGGTATATCTCTCAAAATCAATGTATTTAGTTTTTTTTTTAACAGTGAAAATATTTAATAATTAAATTTATTCATACCCAGCTATGAAAATGAACAAGATACAAAATGTAACTGACCTTGGTTTTAAATCTATCATTATATTTTGATAGACTTTTCCTTTCATTATATGAGCACCAGTTGATAAAGAGTTTAAAAACCATTTGGTCGCTAATTCTAAATACACTTGTTTATATTCCTCATATATAGGTTTAGATATCAATTGTATAATTTCACTAGAATTAATAGTTACTTTAATATGTATAAATACATCTTGGTTACTTGGTAACATCTAAAATACAAAAATATTATATTATAACTGAATAATTTCACTAGAATTAATAGTTACTTTAATATGTATAAATACATCTTGGTTGCTTGGTAACATCTAATATACAAAAATATTATATTATAACTGAATAATTTCACTAGAATTAATAGTTACTTTAATATGTATAAATACATCTTGGTTGCTTGGTAACATCTAATATACAAAAATATTATATTATAACTGAATAATTTCACTAGAATTAATAGTTACTTTAATATGTATAAATACATTTTGGTTGCTTGGTAACATCTAATATACAAAAATATTATATTATAACTGAATAATTTAACTAGAATTGAACAAATTCGCTCTTGTAACTGTGAGTAAATATATGTAATCACAGATAACTCTTTATGATAACCATAAGCTGAACGTGCACCAAGACCATAAATTATAAAAATATCATTTCATAAACTATAACATACCCCATCATGTTTGTCATTAACAACAAATAAAACTTTTTTACACGACTTCGACATCAAATTAGAATCTGGTAGATATTCATTATCTGAAAACACCCAGACAATTTTTTCAAAAAAAAAGCATGGCAATAAGCACACAGGTTCCAAAATATGCAAAAATGTTTTTTCTGGTCAATTTTTACAACTAGCTGTATTTTTGAAAGAATATCTTTCTTGTGCAAAGAACTTTTATCCTTAATTGATTTGTTATTATGGTGATATTAAGAAATTGTTATTATCTATAACAATAACAAAGAAATCACCTTTGACTAATAAAACTACTAAATCTTCCGACTTTAAATATGGTAAAATATCTGAATTGAACTCTTCAATTGAAATTCTAAAATGTTTCCCCTGGAATTGAAATAACAAAATATTTATATCACCAAACTATGAGTCAAACTGAACATTTTTGAATAATCTGAAAGTGTTGCTCGACCTAAGCCATCAGTGCTATACCAATATTTGAGCCATGGCCGCCCAAAAACAGTTTTGAAGGGCTTTCATTTCTGATATTAGGACTCTGGATTTAGGATATCAGCATAGTATGCAAACTAAAACTGATTAAAAAGATTGATGTCTTTAAAGTTATAGAACCGGATTCATCAAGTTCATTTGCACTAACAGATCCCAAAGATAACATTCATATAAAACATTCAGGTTAAAACTTACCACATGACTTAAACTACCGTCTTTATTTCTTAAATTTTTAAACCCGTTTGATAGAAAACCTCTGACATCATCTAAGGCTGAAAAAAAAAGGTTTATTTATAGCACTGTACTGACTAAGTCTATCAACATGGCCATGAATTATCTTTAAGGTCAGCTGAGGTCTTTGGCAATTCAAAGCATCTCCTTGGATCTGTTGCAGTTGCTTGAAGTGCTCTAATCTAGAAATTGACTAGATGTGATCAACTAGATGGGTGCAGATTCCAACCAGTTCAGACTTTTTTGCCATTAAGTTGTATAAAAGCAACTGATTTTAATAACAACTAGTCATAGCTGCTCTAAGATCAACTCAATTTAGTGATGGATCAAATTCTCCCAAATACTGCCAGTTGCTATCATTAATTGAAAATCCAGTTGCTTTCAGATTCTGCTAGTTACCATCATTCAGTGAAAATTGAGTGACTTTCAGTTTCTGCCAGTTACCATCATTCAGTGAAAATCCAGTGGATCTCAGATTATGCCAGTTACAAGGTTACCCTGAACCCACCTGACCTAATGAGTCAAATTATAGATGAAAGACCTTTTAAAGAGTAAAGATATATATCATGTACCTACAAGCACCGTATGTTGGTCTACACTCTGATGCATCTATCATTCCCATAATTCCTAAACTATCATAACCAATATAATATATAGACCCACCAGATTTCAAACTAAAATATACAAACAGAATAAACTGTAAATAAATATGATATTAAGGGGTGAGAGAAGCACTGGCACGGGCATCAAAAGGGCAAAGACAAAGGTAATTAGAAAATGTTTTTTCTCATTATAAACTCATATAGTGATAATAGATAGAATGTACTTTAAATTTACAAATAAACACAAAAAAATGATAACTATTTACATCTTACAAATCATTATGAAAACATAAAGATAATAATACAATAAATTAAACGTGTGAACAATGTAACAAAACAAAACTAACAAACAACTTTAGTTTACAAGGATAACAACTTATGTTCACAGTTAAGGATCCTTTCTACCAAATCTTGGCCAAATCTCTTGGCACTGATCTTTCCTGGAATATCCGTACCCATTTACAGCTGGGTCAACTGGAATTATAAGTGAAGATGACTTATTCAAGGTCATCAGACTATCACAGGCCGATTGAGAACCCACAGCTGCCATTTGCTTGACGTTACCAAGCAAATAAAGAAATGTAAAGAACCAACACTCTAACCGACTGTGCTATAGAACTTCACAAATAGTCAAGTAAATAAAATTCTGCTCATCCAACTCCGATTCAAACTGATTCATCATACATGTGTACAGGTCAAGAAAAAAAATCTGGACATTTGGTGAAAAGTCTGAAGATCTTTCCAAAACGTGTCAATTCATGATTTTGAAACTCCAAATTGATCTTTGTTTTTTTTAAAATCAGATTCATACGTGCAGTCCACTTTATTTTTGGGTAGAATAAACAGTTATTGAAACTATACAGACTAAACTTTCATTTTGTTAATTATCACTTATCACCTATAAATAAAATGGACTGCTCATGTTTATGATTTGAATCAGCTCTTTATTGAATATAAAATACTTAGAAAGCTTATCAGAAAGATAAGACCTACCTTTCACCAGCTAACTTGACAACTTTTGATATTTTCTGTTTTTCACTATATAAATCATTGTAAACTGTTTCATAGGAGTTTAATATCAGCTGAGCTCTAAAACAATATAGAAAATCATTAAAAATAAAGCCACTCTCCTTTCTCACTCCTACTACCTAAAACATTTTTTTGAGTAATCTTAGAAGTATGAACATAAACAGTAGCAAAATGTTAACATATACAAATAGAAATTGGCTTGGTATTGTCTTAAAGGTGTGCAAAATTACATATGGCATGAGAATCTTGACTAAGTTAAGGCTTACATTATTTTTTGGCCAGTAATTCTGGATAAAGCTGCTATAAATATAGATTCTAGTATAAGTTTAGTAGCGGTTCCACTCTTCATTCTACTTGATCCTGTTATTGGTTCCGGCTACAATGGAAGGAGAAATACTACAATATTGTTAATATTTCTACATCCTTGAATGACAGAAATTGACATGTCTGTATTTGCCAGTAATGTTTGACACAGCCTCCCAAACAGTCAGTCTCATTTGATATCTTTTATGAGGACAAAATTTGGAAAGCAGACTAGCTTTTAAGTTATTTGTTGACATGCCAAAATAATTTTACAAAAGTAATTTATCATTCGTATCTACGGCGGCCATTGTCTGACAATAACCTTGTATGCAGCTGGAAGAAAATCTTCTTTCATTGTTAGATGGAAGTTACATCTGGTTACAAAACATAGTTCGTCTGATGTTAGTTATCTCTCTTGAAGACTAACCTTGTCGTAGACAGAAGTCTGGGAGTCAATGACTATTCAGATGTCAACAATGGAGACGAAAATTGAGCTATTGTCACATGACCTAATGTTTGAAAACTAGTCTGATTTATACGCCAGCTGCATACAAGGTTATTGTCAGGCATAGTGAGAACGGCCGACTTATCTATGATTGAGTAATTTATCTGTAAACGAGAGGAGACATGAATTCATGTCATGATTTTGATTTTCAAACAGCACTGGTATATAATTATCTATCATATAGATAACAAGTTTTACAATTGTTTTTGACCGACTGCAAAATACAATATAGAAATTCATGCATTCCACTGAAGGTATGAAGTTGGAGTGCCAAGTTTGAAATAAACAGGAGGGGGTATATTTACTATACTCACCCCAACCACTGGGTTAATAATAAAACCTTTTTTACTGCCTTCTAAACTTAATAATTCTTCCATTACTGTCAAAACATAATTCATGAAACATAATCTATCAAATGACAAAATGAAGCTCAACAGTTTCCAGGAGATAAAATGTAATGAATTGGAGGATGTGCAACACCATGTAGTGTGCTATAAGGGAAAGTTTATTTGGACAGTGGCATTGGCCGACTCCTCTCACTGTTGTGAGATCTTTACATTTAGAGCCTGTAGCACACAGGGCCTGGAATTATTATCTTAAGTGAATGACTAGACAGCTTTTACAGGTCTGTCCCTCTACATATCTACAAATATATAAATATCTTAAAGATTTCTTCTAAAAAAAGCAAATTCTTACCATTTAAAAATGTTTTATGCCAATTTTCTATTATTATATTTCTGAAATAAAAGGAGTTGACTTTATTTGTATATTTATGTTAAATTTGTATAAGATAACCAAATAAATCAAAATAAATCATTTCTTTATTCATATCTCAATCAAATTTTTTCTAGTCATTTATTAGTACATAGCTATTGCTTTTATCTGATATTAGGCCTACTTTATTTTATTAAGTTTTTCTATCTACCTGGCTAATGCTGATGGATTAAATCCTATTACGACTGGTATAAACTTGTCTAGTCTCTGCATACAGTAGTCCAACTGTCCAGCCACAAATGGTGCTGACAATCCACATGTTATACCAATAAACAAAACTTTCTTTTTTCCTTTTCCTGCCTACAATACGGAAATAAACGTTTCCAGAAGTAAGCTTTTTTGTTTGGATGTGACATCAGAAATCTTATTAAAAGGAAAATATGGACCTGATTTCATTATTTGCATAAATATACATAAATATAGTACTAGAGTAATGATCTAGTATTTAAATCTTAAGGGATTTATTTTTTTAGTTAAATGACGTCACTAGAGGGGAACTGCATATATATCAATAGTAGCTTTCCGTAGTTCCCCTAGTGACGTCGTAAAACACATTAGTTTTAGTAGAATTGCAAGAACCACAGACATCTAATTGAAAATTGGAATAGTGCAAATTGATGCTATCAGTATCCCCGTTATACATTAAAAGTGATGAAAACCTTTTTACAATCTTTAAGTTACATGAACTCGAATGAATACATTCAAATTAACACATAAAAATTCTGCAATTCATCAACAAATGAACGCAAAAAAGGTACATTCAATCCTTAAAAATTGTGGTTACCTTTATCAGTAGATCTTTACCATTAATAGGGTCATCTTCACCTGATTCTTGAGATGTAAACAAGGCTCTACAATGGATTTTGGAGTATCATAAAGAAATTATGTTTGTTTTAAATAGGTTTTTCAAAGTATTCATCAAATCTTTCTATAAGAATCAAAACTTTTCTTGGCTGAATGTAAGATTATGCTGTTATGATGCAAGAACACTGGCTATGAGGGAGTGCCAACCATGAAGATTAAATATATTATCCTTTTGCTGCCAAATATTTGTATATACTTACATATCTCCACCAGCTATCAAATAATCACAACATGGTGTTAATCCTAATTTCTTCAATTTCTCATTGAATGTTCGCTGAAAAAAAGAAAAAATGAAACCCTATGAACAAAATATTATTTAATATTTGCTTGACAAAGACAGTCCTACTATCTAATTACTTTGTCAGTAAATCATATTACTGAATTGTTTACCTACATATTTTACTCATTAGTAATTCCAGATTGACTGTTGAATGCCATTACAGAATCAAAATATTATTTTCATGTAAATTTTCTCTCAATAACATGTTTTAAAGTTATATAATTTGTGCATTTTGTAAAAGTTTAAAGATGGGTTTCCTTATTTTTTTAGTGTCAAATTATTAATTCATTTGTTTGTTAGTTCACTTTTCATAATGATGTCTTTCAAGTAATTCCAGCAATTCAAATTTGAGTAATTCCAATAAATACTTACTGCAATAAGGAATGCTAGTCTTCCTGATGTACCACAACCACTTAATATTATACTATTTTTAGATGAATTCTATAAGTAGATAAAACATAGTACCGTTATATTGATTCAGTATAAAAAATCTTGAGGCATGAGTTTTTGATCATGAATTAATTGTGGATAACATATTTTGTCTCTATCTTTACATGTTACATGATAAAAAATATTTGTTTGTGATACTAAAGGTGCAGACACTCAAGCGGTATTGGTTGGAGATTTTTGTCGCTTACTAGAGTCATGTCAGCAGTTTCACCGACTGGCACGGGCACACAAGGAGACAAAAATCTCCATGCACTTGAAAGGAAAAGGAATCTGCTTGGATGATGACGGTCTGTCTTGCAAATCATAAAAATATCGGAGACAATTATCAAACTTGTTTGATATTATAAATCATGTCGGGGACGCGATAACGTGATTTTACTCAAGACTCTAATCGGTGAAAAATCTCCGACCAAGACCCATCATTAAAGTTCCTTAAAGAATATGCTGCATCTCAGGATCGGAAGTATAGAAATAATTGTAATTTTCATACCTTCAATATATTGACAGTTATCTCTACAATATTATCAAGGTTTCTCTGTATTCGTTCACTGTATAGATTCTAAAACATGTCAACAAAAATAAAAACAATTTTAATCATTTTTTAAAATTATCATTAATAAAATTTAGAATGTAATGCTACTTTTATTGGTTTAATATTTGGTTTAATAAAGATGATGTTTTTTAGATAATTTTATTAAATTTCCTACTATCAAAAGATTTTTTACATGCAGTAAGGACCTCGGTTCGTAATGAAAAGTTGCTGTTTCCATTTCAATGCAATAAGCTTATATTAGGATATAATAATGTTCAAATCTTTTTTGCATTTCTCTAAAAACTGTCTCATAAGAAATCAGAAAAAGTTTGACTCTCCCAAATAGACATGTAGAATATCTAATACATACTGGATACGATTGCCAACCCTTAAATATTTCACTATCACAATCTTCTAATATTTCTACAATTTCTGTAATATAATATGACATATTTTTATATCAAAACATCAAAAACAACTGAATATCCAAGTTCCAATCACAATGTGAGCATTTTGTGAAATTTATTTATATCTTGACAGAGCATACCGGTAAATAAAGATCGTTTAAAGGGACAGATGCCCCATTTTGTTGACCAATCATACCTTATTCTCAGAAACAGGAATTTTTTGGCCAGTGCTTTTGAACACTACTAACATATTCAACACTCAAATCAACCCCCCAAAATGGCGCAACATAACATACCTAAGGGATTGGCTACATCAATGTTATTTGATTTGGGATTGATTAATTCTGTAATTGGTTTTTCTGGTGTCATAGCGATTTTTCAACATACTGTAAAATAGAAAAATGCAAATATTTTCTGAAGCAAAAGGACAACAGTATGAAGCATCAAACAGTAAGTTTACAAAATATAATTCTACAATATAGTACCAGTTATGTTACACATACAATTATATATAAGCTTATACAATACAAGACAATGATGAAAGGGGAAAATAAGCATTAATGTGACGGTGTGACCTTCAAGTAGCACTTCCTATTTCTAAAAATAGTAAGTGATAGGCATTCAAATTTAAAATTGATCTTTATCTTATGATTACTGGTACCAGTACTTATATCAGGTTTCATCAAAATCTGTTAAATGACAATATGTAAAGCATCAAAAGAAAAATCATGAACAGAGGGACATTTTTTTCTAACAAAAAGCTTAAACACTCATACAAAAAGAATGAAATTTGCCTAGTTCTACTGAAAATCTAACACAACTTTGACAAAGGAAGAATGAAGCAAGCAACTTGTTTTATGAGGCTTACAACTTCCAGCTGGTAAGTTTACCACTCTTGAAATTGATTATGGATTATCTGTAACAGCTGGGTTGATTGGAGTAATGAGGAAAGATGACTTATTCAAGGTCATCAGACTAGACTTTCACATGCTAACAAAGATTAGAACCCACAACCACAACATGTTCAATGTAACCAAGCAAATAACCTCATGAAACGGTAAATATAAAACTCCATTATGTATACTGAATATGACTGTCTGTTCTTAGACATCATTATTCAAATCCCAAAATCCCTAAATAAGATCAAGTATGAAACACATCTCTTTGGGGTAAGAAAAAACTTTTCAAAAAAATAATTCCTACCAGCTGTATACAGCTCTGAGTCATTACTTCTAGTAAATATGGGCGTATCTTACCAGTATATATATCAAATAAAACTGAATATTAAGTAAACTTGTAGAGTAGTAAGAAAAAATCATACATGATAAGGTATTTATTCAGGTCAATATTCTTATCTTAACGATTATGTTTGAACTACAAATATGTCAATTAGGACTACTTACATAATCCTAATTCTAAACTAACAATATAACTTAATACTACTTGACTTAGGATTGCCTATAGTATAATCATGTTTTTTAGCTGTTTAAAATAAAAAAAAAATAAAAAAATTCCATTTGCTTTAGGGTAGCATGCCTATCTCTGTGGCTGTTGGCCTATGCCTACTCCACCAACTCTACTAGTTTCTGGGCCTACTTTACAATCCACCTAGTACTCAGCCTACTCTTTTCCTCTACTAAGTCTTGGCAAACCAGAACAACTAGGTCTAGTAGATGCATTCACTGATTCATACAATATGTGACTCCATACACATAGCATGATGCCTATCAGACCCCTCCTCAGGCTCCTGGTCAACTAAACTTAGATTATAATTATGTAATTTGCTACGCACCATAATAAACTATACATTATTACAATTTAATACAATAAATTTACAAGGTAGGCCTACATCCTTTTGAAAGTTCCACCTTGTCCTTGTTGCAAAAAGCATACCTCTTAACTCTCGTTTGGTTAACTGGATCATTACCTTGTGTACTGAGGTCAACTTTATCACATGATGATTTATCATAAATAGTAGGCCTACATATAAGTTTGATAAACAAAATATCTTTCGTGGATGTTAATCTCCAGTGTTTTGTTATTACTTTAGACAAAATGTAACTCATTAACCAAGGCTACGAATGAACAAATTGTAGTTAATTCCCCTTAAACGCGTTCGATTCACTGAGCTATATATAGTTATTTATAGGATATCTATGGTTCGATTCGTAGGACCCATAGAGATATTATAATAATACTCCACTAAAACATTTTATGCAAATGATTGTGCAAATGATTGTATATTTCTCTCGTCCTTTTGGGATTTTTGCATGCCTATTTTTGGGTAATTTTTGGTCTAGATTTGGAGATCTAGATCTAGAGACCTAAAGGCGGAAAGCTAATTCTAAAAATAGTCGTTTTGTGAAGTGCCAAACTCTAGCGGATGGACTTGTGATTGTATACGTTCAGGCTATTTTTTAGAAATCTTCTTTCTCTCTCCCTTTAGGGGTTTTTGCATGCTTATTTTTGGTCTAGATTTGGAATTTGATGTCTGAAATGGCATTATCTTTAAGATTTGGTGAGATGATGAGAGACCTAAAGGCGGAAGGCTAATTCTAAAAATAGTCGTATTGTGAAGTGCCAATCTCTCAATTGACACTTCGTCATTACTTCAGTGGCCGGCCAATTTTTGTCAATATGTTGACACTTCGTCATTATTTCAATGGCCGGCCAATTTTTGTGGCCGATGGATACACTAATTTTTTGGATTGATTGTAATTGTTGTAATTAAATCAAAAAATGAAAAATTTGTAATTCATTTTATTATTCAAATAAAGCCTCTAAAAAGTCGTGTAATGAATACAATCATTACATAGTTATCAACATTTCTTTCGCCAGTGACGGATAGCCAATATGGATAATGAAGAATGACCAATTTTTTCAATGGTCTCCTTTGGAATTATAAATGCAATTGTTGGTGCCATTGAGGTCCTGAGATGCCAATCTAACATATTTGTCACTGACCAGTCAATAACGAGGCCCCTACATGGCCAATTTATGATAAATGGCCAATTTTTTCGTATGGTCTGCTATGGAATTATGAATGATATTTTTGGTGCCATTGAGGTCCTGAGATGCCAATCTAATATATTTAGGTGTACAATAGGGAGAAATGCCCTTTATTCCTATAATTTCTCAAATATGGCCAGTGATGGATATCAAATATGGAGGACTGGCCAGTCAAAGACCAAGCCCCTACATGGCCAATTTTTGCACAGTCCACAGTAATGGGGGTGGGGCAGACTTTTGGATGGAATTGGCACAAACTCAATCACATGGTGCCTTCAGACCTGTGAATATCTCAAAAATTCCAATGGTATTTTCATGCCTAACTTTGTCACTGGCCAGTCAATAACGATGCCCCTACATGGCCAATTTATGATAAATGGCCAATTTTTTCCTATGGTCTGCTATGGAATTATGAATGATATTTTTGATGCCAGTGAGGTCCTGAGATGCCAATCTAACATATTCAGGTGTACAATGGGGAGAAATGCTCTTTATTCCTATAATTTCTCAAATATGGCCAGCGACGAATGACGATTGATTGTAATTGTTGTAATTAAGCGGATGAGTATAACCGGTAGTAATCTACTTTCAATTTTAGTAGCTCCAAATTTTCATGGTCATCAATATTTAGGAGACATTGAGAATTGGTCAGGCTTTCATTCGACATATTGGAAAGCTTTCAACGAGATTTCTATAAAATGTTGTAGAAGGTTGAATTTCGTGTTTTATCATGGGAAGAGATGGCAAATGAATTAGTGGAGTGAGTCCTGTCTGTCTCTATTCCAGCCTCTGATAGCTTTTTGTACAGCTGGTGTCCAATAGAAAAAAATAGGTCCTGTTATGGGTCCGTTCTATCATCCATCAGGTTCGCTGGGAAAGCGCCGGAAGAGCGTTGTGTGAACGCTAGTGAACGCTGGTCATCGTCGGTGATCGGCGGAGAACGTTGGTCAGAAATTTTTTTTTGCGTTTTTCAACGTTTAATTTTACAAACTATACATCTAGGGTCAAAATTGACCATTTCAGTAGGGGGTCGGCAGCCAGCCTATACAGTCCTATAGAGTCTCGCTGCACCCTTTGGGGGTAAGACCAAAACTTTCGACTATGTCTGGTAATAACCAACCATAATAAATGATAATTACAAATGTCAGAATGTGTGTGGCAAAGATCGAATTTCGAACTATGCATGATCAAAATCCAACCATACTTCTTTATAGATTTAAATTTTGGACAATGTATGAGAATCACCAACCATGCTTTTTAATAAATTCAAACTTCGGACTATGTCTGGCAAAGCCAAACGCTTATAAAAGAATACCATTTTTGGACTGTGTTGGCAATAATCAACCATATTACTTATTAATAGATAATTAAATTAATAAATATGTAATTGACAAAATTCAGCTAATGTCTTGTAGGAGTGCATATTTCATACTATGTATGACAAAAACCATTTATACTTCTTAATAAATTCAAATTACAGACTATGTATGGAAAAAACAACTAAACTTCTTGTTTAATTTAAATTTCGGACTATGTGTGGCAATAACCAACCAAATTTCTTAATAAATTCAAATTACAGACTATGTATGGAAATAGCCATCAAACTTCTTAATAAATTCAAATTACAGACTATGCATGGCAAAACCAACTAAATTTCTTAATAAATTCAAATTTCGGACTATGTCTGGAAATAAACAACCAACCAAACTTCTTCATAAATTTAAATTTCGGACTATGTCTGGCAATAACCAAACAAACTTCTTAATAAATTTAAATTTCGGGCTATGTCTGGCAATAACCAACCAAACTTCTTAATAAATTCAAATTTCGGACTATGTATGGCAATAGCCGGCCTCACTACTGAAATGGAGGGTGGAACTTTCAAGTCGATTTTCTCGAAAGTTTGACAAAAAATCGAATTTCGGTTTCTGTTGGGGGACATGTTAAACTGTCGTTTGCAACAAAAATTATACCTCTAGGGTCAAAATTGGCCGAGTTATGGCCATTTTAGTGAAGGGGTGGGGTCTGAAATCAGCCTAATGCAGTCCAATGGCACTGGTTGGGGTGAAGGCCAAAATTTGACAGGCTGCCAATCGAAGGCTATCAGAGATGTAAAGCTGAAATTTGCACTGAAGGTACATAACAATCTGAAGTTGATCTGTTCCAAATTTCAAGTTGCTGCCATGCAAACTCTGTCTGTGACAGCACTTTTGGTCTCAGATTTTTTTCACCAAAGGAAAATATAAGCGATTTTCTCCCTGAAATGGAGGGTGGAACTTCAAAGTCGATTTTCCCGAAAGTTTGACAAAAAATCGAATTTCGCTTTCTGAATAAAATAGATGGAGGACATGTTAAACTGT